GGAAAAGTTAAATGAATTACAGGAGGAAATAGTAAAACTATACAAGTGGGGGACCTCAACTTTTCCTACTCTGAGCTAGCTAAATCTAACCATAAAATAAATAAGAAAGAAGTTAAGGAGATGAATAGAATCTTAGAAAACTTGGATGTGATAGACCTCAGTAGAAAACTGAACGGGAATAGAAAGGAGTATACCTTTTTCTCAGCTGGACATGACACCTTCACAAAAATTGAGCATGTATTAGGGCATATATACTTCACCATCAAATGCAGAAAAGAATAAATATCAAATGCATCTTTTTTGTGGAAAATAATTTGGAACTCAAGTAAAACTAATTCCATATTGTCAATATCTAGAGAGATAGATAGACAACTGATAGAGATTGATGAGAGATAGATGATAGGAATGTTAGATAGATAGATACATAGATGATTGTTAGAGAAAATAGATGAATAGTGTCTGAGTCTATCAATTTTTTGGAAACTTGTCTTTAAAATATTGTTGTTATTATATGAATCATTCTTCTGGGTCTTTTAATTTTCTCCACATTACTTCATACAAGTCTTCTTAGGTTTCTCTGAATTCATCTTCATCATTTTTTGGTAAGTTTTAAAATTTATTTTAAACTTAAATACAAAATAAAAAAATTTAAAAACGCATTGCCATGTATTAGAGAGGATTCAATATAAAACAATAAATTTCCATTTCAAGAAAGCGTATATAATAAATACTACACATTGTTTTTGAAGCTGTCCAGCTTTTCTTTGCTTCCTTGTAGGTTTTCTTTTGTTCTCTACTATGTACTTTTTTTTTTGCTTTTTGGTGAGGCAATAAGGATTAAGTGACTTGCCCAGGGTCACATAGCTAGTAAGTGTCAAGTGTCTGAGGCCAGATTTGAACTCAGGTCCTCCTGAATCCAAGGCTGGAGCTCTATCCACTGTGCTACCTAGCTGCCCCTTGCTGTACACTTTTTACTTATTTTTCCCCTTCCCCCCTGAAGAAGGTGACAATTAAGTGCCGATATTATATACATACATATGCATATACATAGATATCTATAAACATACATATGTACACATATATGTAAGACTGTACTATGCATATTTCCAGTTGTCATCTTCTTTCTCCGAAGGTGGATAGCATCTTCCTTCATAAGTCTAAGTCTTTCCATGTTTTTCTAAATCAACCAGCTGCTTGTCATTTCCTATACCACAGCAGTATTCCAACCCAACCACATTCTGAGTGATTGTCTATGACAATTTTTTCCAGATTTTCTGCATTCCTTCTGTTCTTGGCTGCATGGGTTTTATTTATACAAGAAAAATTTTAATTTAAAATAATCAAAATTATCCATTTTACACTTCAACAATACTCTCACCTTATAATATAGTTTAAGGTCTATTACTACTGAATCTGCTTCTTTTACATCTTCTTTCCCCCGTTTTTTTTTTTAGTTTCTGACTTTTTGTTCTTCCTAATGAACTTCATCATTATTTTTTCTAACTCAGTAAGGTAATTTTTTAATAATTTAATTGGGAAGACATTACATAAATAGATTAGTTAGGTAAAATTGTCATTTTTTTAAGTTATATTGGCTTTACTTACCCATGACTAATAAATATTACTTCAATTATTTAGATTTGACTTTATTTGCATAAAAAGTGTTTTCTGTTTATGTTCATATAGTTCCTGTGTCTGTTTTGACAGGTATATTCTCAGGTATTTTATACTGTCTAGTTATTTTAAGTGGTCTAAAACAATATTGAATAATATGGCTGACACATAGTGTAGTTTCCCTACTTTTCCCTTTTGATTAAATCTATTTTAGCTTTAACTTTGTCTGAAATTATGATTACTACACATGCTTTTTTTTCACAGAATAAATTCTACTCCTGAACTTTATTTTATGTTTGTGTATATCTCTAATTTTTGTAATATTTCCTGAAAGCAACCTATTGTTGAATTCAAATATTTAACCTATCAGTTTCCATTTTATGGGTGATTTCATCCCATTCACATTTTAAGCTATAACTACTTGTTGTATATATTCTTCCTTCCTATTTTTCCTCACTATTTTTCTCACCTTATTCCTATCCCTCCTCACTCTTCTGCTTTACTTCCACCTGCTGCCTTGCCCTCCTATTCCTTAACCTATCCACCCTTCCAAGAATCCCTCCTTTATTTTCATCCCCCAACCTATCCCCTTGCAATCTTATTTCTTTCTTAATTTAGAAGACTTTTATACCTTTCTACATGTATATGTTGTTCTCTCTTTAACCCATTCCTGATGAGAGTAAGTTTTCAGCACTACTTACCTCCTCCCTACCTTCTTCTGTATCAATTCTTCTACTAGCTTCTTCTGTATCAATTTTTCTTTTATGCCTCATTTGGATGAGATAATTGTTCCTTTTTATCTCTCCCTACACAGTTTTATGTTTTTTAGAATCACCCCCATCATACTCAGCTCAGCCCAAATCTTTATTTCAAACTACCCAAATAAAAATTACATTCATAAAAGAACTGAAATATTTCCATAAATAAGAAATAAACAATTTGACCTTATTGAGTACTTTGTTAATGTTTACTTTATATTTCTCCTAGGTGTTATATATATAATTTTCCTATATGTTTTTGTCACAAATACCTGAAAATCTTTCAGTTTGTTAAATGTTCTTTTTTTTCATTCAGAATTAAACTTAATTTTGCTTGGTAAGTTACTCTTGGTTGTAACCCCAGCTCTTTTGCTCTATGAAATACAGTATTTCAAGACCTACAGTCCTTCAGCATAGTAGCTGCTAGGTCTTGTGTAATCCTTATTGTAGCTCCATGATACTTAAATTGTTTTTTTTTAAATTGTTGCCTTCCACTATTTTCTGCTTAACCTGGGAGCTTTGAAACTTGTCTATGATATTCCTGAAAGTTTTCCTCCTGGGATCTCTTTCAAGCAGTGATTGGTGGATTGTTTCTATTACTGCTTTGCCTTCTTGTTCTAGAATTTCAGGGCAATTTTCCTTGATAATTTCTTGTATTGTATTGAGATTCTTTTTTATTACAATTTTCAGGTAGTCTAATAATGCTTGTGTTATTTCTCCTTGATCTGAGATTTTTTTTTTCCTAATGAGATGTTTCGCATTCTCTTCTGGTTTTTTTTTCATTCTTTTGATTTTGTTTTATTGTTTCTTGGTGTCTTAGAATGTCATTAGCTTCCCTTTGCCCAATTCTAGTTTTCAAGGAATTATTTTCTTCCTTAAGTTTTTGATAGTCTATTTCAAGTTAATTGACTTTCTTTTCATAATTTTCTTGAATTTCTTGTATTGCTCTTATTTTTTTCTAACTTTTCCTTGATCTCTCTTACTTGATTTTCAAAGTCCTTTTAAAGTTCTTCCAAGAACTCTTTTTGTGCTTAGGACCATTTGACATTTCTCATTGAAAAAGGAGTGGCTTTTTTTTTTAGCTCTATTACCTTCCTCTGAATATGAACCCAAATCTTCTCTACCCCCATAGTAGCTATCTGTAGTTGGGTTCTTTCTCCTTTGCTTAATTATTTTTTTAACTTTGTTTTGTTTTTAGCAAGTGTTAGTGTAATCAAGTTGTAGTCTTGAGGTCTGGGGGATGATGGCCCCACCTCAGGTCCTTCTTACTGTTATTTTCTGAGGTCTATCCCAGGGCTCAACCTTGGGCTCTCCTCTCTGCTCCTAAGCCACAGCTGTGGTCATGCTGTCCCACAAATGATCTTGCTCCCTATGGTTCTTCGGGTGGCTGCAAACTACAGCTGTCATCTCCACCCTGGAACTGAAACTAGGGACTCTGCTCTCCTGACAATGCCCACAGCCAGCAGGGTCCCCGCCCCTCTGCTACTGCACTCACCAGATATGTACTAGCTCCTTCTTTCCCACAGCAGCATCCCAGACCAGGACATTTTTGGTCAGCACCTGTGTTTGGCCTCCTCAACAGTGGAAGGTCCTTCAATCTTCTCCTACTCAGCCATCAGGCCCCCACACTGTCCAAGATGTGAAAGTTCCGAAGGCTGAGGCTGCCTCCCAAGTCCAGCTGCCCCCAGGGCATATTTGTTGATTCTGCAGAGTTGACCTGGAGCTATTCGCACTTAACTCAGGCCAGCCTCTGCACCTGCAGGGCAAGCCTTTCCTGGAGTCTTCTTAAATTGTCTGAGGAAAACTGCTTTACCCGAACTTTTGTTCATTTCTGCTGCTCTACATTCCCTCTGACGAAATGTTCTGTCTTTTTTGTGTAGGAAATCTGGAGAGCTGAAAGTTTTCTGACCTACTCCACCATCTTCCCAGAGCCCTCTCCACCCTCCATCATTTCTTAAAGCATTATATTTCATCACGTTCATATACCATAATTTTTGTTCAGCCGTTTCCCAATTGATAAGCACCCTCTCAGTTTCCAATTCTTTGCCATCACAAAAAGAGCTGCTATAGATATTTTTGTACCTATGAATTCTCAGAATCCTTTCAAGACTCAACTTCATTGTCATATCCCATATGAAGACTTTCTTGTCCCCCTGAACTCAGTTTTTAACTCCTTGACAGCAATACTTTGGATTTATTTTGTTTATATTTTTAATCTGTTTGCGTATTATCCTGCCCCAACCACAATAGAATCCAATACCCTCGAGGCTGTTTTTATTTTGTATTTGTATCCCTAGCACCTAGTACAGTGTCTAACACCTAATAGACCATAATAATAAATAACGTTAATAAATGTTTTGAATTGAATTGAAAGGTTAAAGAATCGCAGGGCCAGTGAGTCAAGCAGCTCAAACAACAGAGTCCAGTTTTGTTTCTGATTTCCCCAAATCTAGAACCAGCCACTCTACATTGTTTTGGACCTATTGACCAAGAGTATCCTACAAAAGGGTACAAAGAGAACAGGTAGTGGAATGGGGTAATGGCTAACTTCTACTTACAAGCAATTAGTAATTTGGGGGTAATATCACCAACTGATGCTAACATATGCTTTCTGCTGCAGTGACCTAAGAAGTCAAGACAATCTGGATGCCAAACGAGAACCTAGAATTCTGATATCTCTGGGCAACAGTGTAACAGGTAACAAACTTTATACTAGTGTGAAGAGTCTTCAAAACAGAAGTTTCAATTATTTAATGAAGAGAGAGTCTTCCTCTGCCCAAGGGCAGTGTTCAGCATATGGGAATCACTTAGTAAATGCTTTTCAGTAGTTCATTCAAGCAATCATTCATTCATTCCTCTGACACCTGCCCTGAGGCTAGAGAGATGAGAGGAGGAACTACTTAGTAATTTAGGGAGAGGGGGGAAGTGCCCACAGGGAGTGATGGGAAACTAGACGTAGAGAATCCAGGAACTCAAGAAGCTGCCAGATGCCAACTGCCTGATTCTAACTGCAAGGCCAGTGTCTGGTATGGCAAGCAGAGAAAGAGACAGTCTACTTGGAGCTTCAAAGAGAGAGGCAAGTGAGAATTATTGACCCTAGAAAATGATCCTCTGGCAATTAAGTACTGAATCAGCCAAAAAAAAAATTTTTTTTAAGCAACTGGAAAGATACGTCCTTTTCTCAAAGCAAAGAGTTCATTATGCTTTTAGGCAGGACTGCCAGCTGTCCACTAGAGGGAGGCTGATTGTTTTTGAAAGAAAAAAAAAAGCTCTTTTCAGTCACTTTCATAGAGTAAGCGAGAAAAGATTTTTTTTCTCAATAGTGCTTTCTTTGGGGGGTGAGAGAGATGCTGCCAAGAAGCACAAAAGGCTTTTTTTTTTTCAGGAAGTGGGAGACGGTGTGAAGAACAAAAAATAAATAAGTAAACATAGAAGCAGGGCTTCAGGAGGGATGAGGCAAAGACCATTGGAAATGACATGAATAACTCTAGTGAACATTAGGATGGAATGTAAGAGTAGGAAAGCCTGAGAGAAGATAAAACTATGGAACTGGAAGTAATGATAAATTCAATTCTACCCCTACCAACCCCCCCACCCCAAATTAAAATGATATGTTTTATTTATGTTATAAGATGTAGCATTCAGAGTCAATCAAGGTAGGAAGCTATTATAAACTCAACTCTTCCTCCCCGCCCCCGCCCTCCCCCCCAAAAAAACAGTATGGCTAAGACATAGTGGGGCAGCTAGTGGGTAGAGTGTCAGGACTGGAGTCAGGAAGACTCATCTTCCTGAGTCCAATTTGGGCCTCAAACACTAGCTGTGTGACCCTGAGCAAGTCACTTAACACTGTTTGCCTCAGTTTCCTTGTCTGTAAAATGGGCTAATGAAGGAAATTGCAAATGACTACAGTATCTTTGCCAAGAAAATCCCAAATGGGGTCAAGAAAAGTTGGACACAGCTTAAACAAGTGAACAGCGACAACAAAGATGTCACATTAAACATCAATCAAAGTAGAACACTCTCTGTGTGGTATGGTTTAAGGGACCCTTTGAGGTCCACATGACACAAAATATCTATTTCAGTCACATCACCTAAAATTCACACTGTTCTAGTCACTTTTCCAGGATGAAGATGCTGCTGTCTCATGAAGGTTCCTACTGAAAAGATGTATTTGTTGCCTGGGAAGGAGTAAAAGATTAAACCATTAAAACAGATTAATTTGAGAAGCACCAAGACTGCAATAGAGAAATAGCCTAGGTTCCCATTCTGCCTGATAAATACTCTTTGGCTGTGTGACTCAGCAAGTCACTTAATCTCTCTGCTTATTGCTCCCAGGTAACTCCCTAAGGTCATAAATTACTGAGAACTAGTGGGAATTCTTTACACTGATAAAGTCAAGATTTATTTTTAAAGGATTAGTTTATGTGATTAGGTAGCCAGTCTTCCAAGAAGACCCTAGGATAATGAAACTCAGGAGAGGTAAGTTTGGTGAGATCTAGAAAGTGTGTGAGGCATTGAAAGGGAAGGTGAAAGTGGTGAGAGTTCTAAAACAGACTTTGCGCTCTTAAAATTTTTGCTTTAATATCTAAGGATATTCTAGGATTTATAAGCCCTCTTCCTCTATTTACTTCCTACTCCATTTTCTTCTCCTTATGGACAATTAAATGATGTAGTGGACAGATAGCTAGATCTAGAGTCAGGAGGACCTAAATTCATCTAAATTAGTAGTTATGTGACTCTGGGCAAGTTACTTAACTCCTATCTGTCTCAACTTCCTTATCTGTAAAATGGGAATAATAACAGCATCTACTCTCAGAATTGTGAGGATACATCTAGATGATATTTGTAAAGAACTTAGCGTAGTGCCTGGCACATAGTAGGCACTTAATAGATCCTCATTCCCTCCCTCTTCTTAAGAGGAACAAAGGTGACCCTAGTTTCTTAAAGATTATGCCAGCTAAGCATGAATTCTGGCAGCTACTACCACATTTGAAAGGCAAATTTTGCCTTGAGCCAGGTGTGGCAGTAATCATGCTATTGGTGGATAGCCTATGTCTTATGAGGCTTTCTCTCTTCCTCTACTGTGGTCCTACTCTAATGGGTCACTACAAATGATGGTGTCCCTCAGTTCTTGATGGCCATGCCAGTGGAAGAGCCCCTCTGGTAGCTTTGACCAAGCTAGTAAGACTTCAAGCATGGATGACATATGCCTGTCACTCCAAAGACTATACTAGCTTAATTTGGAAAAGTTCATTGACAGCTTTCACAGGGTAAGGAATTTGCCAGCAGAGCAACTCCCATCGACCATTCATCACTTCATAAAGAAGCTTTGATGTGTGTTATTGGAGAGAGTACTCATTGTTGAAATTACCAGTTCTTGAGGTATTGTAGCACAGAGGGGCTCATAGGGCATAAGAACCCTTCCTTATATTGTGGTTGTATATGGCAGTCCAGAGAGAAGGGTGTCAGTAGAGTAAATTATGTTTTTATACAAACATCTAACAAATACAGCCCTATCTCAGTAGCAGTGTGCAACAGAATTAGCATGCAACACTGAAACTCACTGATAATCCACCAGCTTCGTTTTATGCATTGTATAATAAACTCAAGCTTTTTACCCACCAGATCTACTAAGAATAAATAAAATTACATTATTTTGTGCTCTTCTTTCCACTGCACATTCATGCTTACCAGAGCTCTAGTAAGTACAGAAATAGTACAAATAACAGAAGGAAGAGGAGAAAAAAATAGGAAAACAAAGGCCTTGATAATCCATAAAATGCAAAACCAGCCCCTGAATAATTTAATGTAGGGTAAAGGGAGATTGTCAGGCTGCTCCCCTTCACTTGCCCATTATAGCTGTAGTCATAATCCCAGTCCCTCAGCTCCCCAATCTAAGCTTTCCCCACCCCTTGAACCTTCACCATAGACCAATTGTTCTTGAACATTTAACCACCAGGTGGTGTTCTTATTCAACAGGAAGGCTCAGAAGGTGAACAAGCCCAAGGAATACCCTGGAAGTTATGAAACTACTTTGTTGAGTGGAAAATCTGGAAAGTGTCAACTTTCCTGCATTTCTCAGAGAATAGATAATTTCACCATACTGATTCTGCCGCTCTCTCCATGAACATGCAAACTGTCAATCCAGAAATTATAGTTAATACGGCTTTATTCAGTAAGAATCAGCTCTGAGCTTGCGTCCTACTTGCATAACCCTACCCTTTCCCAAATCTTGCTGTATTTCACTCATCCCTGTCATATAACTTTAATATAATGGAGTTCCTTCCCCACAAGAATGGACAGAATTTACTTAACCACATAAACTGCATTCTTTTTTAATTATTTATTTAAATATTCTTTCCCTTTTAAATTTTAAGTTTCAGATTCTCTCCCTTTCTCCAACCCTTCCCTTACCCATTGATAAGAAACAATATGATATCAATCATACGTGTAAAATCATGTGAAACATATTTCCACATTGCAAGAAAAAAAGCAAAAAAAAGTGAGAAAATTATATTTCTATCAGCACTCAGATTTCATCAGTTCTCTCTCTGGAGGTAGGTAGAATTTTTTCATCATGAATCCTTTGGAATTGTCTTGGACAACTGTATTGATCAGAGCAGCCAAGTCTTTCATAGTTGATCATCATTTCAGCAATTGCTATTACTGTGGACAGTGATCTCCTGGTTCTACTCATTTCGTTTTGCTTTAGTTCATATGGGTCTTGCCATGTTTTGTTTGTTTGTTTTTCCTGAAGCTGCCTCTTTCATTGCTTCTTATAGCATACTAATGGAGAGCTACAAAGTGAGGGAGAACCAGGAAAATACTATTCACGATGACAACAATGTAAACCAAAAGAACAACAAACCATAGCTGAGCTCTATGTGATTATACTTACATGAGAGGGAATAAAAAAATCATACCTGTCCCCTCCCTTCTTTACAGAGGTGGGGGACATTGGATATAGAAGATTAAATATACTGTCAGACTTAGCTGGTGTGTTGGTTAATTTTACTGAATTACTTTTTCTTCCTTTCTTTCTTAGTCTTGATGACAAGGGCTAGTGCTCTGGGTAGAGGAGGGGAGAATGATATATTTGGAAACGAAGGTGATGTAAAAGCAAAACATGTCAATAATTTTTAATGGGAACATTAAAAAAAAAGACAAGGATAGTTACCTTCCTCTAGATCAGAGCTTCTTCACTTGGAGTCTATAAACTTAAAAAAAAACTTAACCATTGCATTATCATATGATTGGTTTCCTTCATGATTCTCTGTGTTTTATTGTATGTATATAAAAACATTCTTCTGAAAAGGGGACCATAGACTTCACCAGGCTACCAAAGTGATCCAGGATAGAAAAAAAACTAAAGCAACTTTGCTCAGAAGGAAGATTTTTTTTTCTCTAAGAGGCCCTAGTTAGGTAACCAAGACTCAAAACTATGACTTTGACATTGCTGCAACTAAGCATAGGGCAAATAAGGCCTGACTACATATTAAGCAGTGATCCTCGCAGAGGCGCATAGGCTTTCCCATGGTGACCTGCTTCATAGATGCTTGCCTTAGTTCACTAGCTATATTTTAACTTTTGGTCAGCATGAAGCCATGAGGATGTCTGGAAGCTCTAGATTATGACTCATTCTCCTCACTAACCAGTGAGAGAGCTTTGCCTGGTTTAGCCCAAGAGTTTGATCAGCA